TTTTGCACTGTATTTACAACAGACTTCCGAATTTTAACGGGTTGCCTGGAGTACAATTTCTAACGGCGTTTGCCTACAACATTTTTTTCTCTGAGGATTAACGAATTTTTCGTGAGGCAAGATACTCAAACTCTCACAGTTAATCTTGTTAATAAACTAACTTGTTTATTCTGAGGTAATTTAATTCGTTGACCAGAGCAACTTGGGTCTAAAAGAATGAGAGAATTGCATGAAATGTGCCAGTGACACCTGTGTGTCTTGGAAGAAACTCATGGATCCTTGGACGTTTTACTGTACAGTAGAGTGGAAATAAGTGGATTATTACTGTATATCAATCTCATTGTGACAACATTTCCTATTTTACAGTAAAATATCGTCACTTGTTACAAGAAACCTTTTGGGGACTTCAGAAAAAGTTTGTAATACTGAATACATTGTTATTGCGAGATTTTTGAAAAAAATGTCCAAATGTTTGCATCAGACCTGCCCATGAACAATTAGATCTCGTTTTTCTGGCATTCTCAGATGTTTCATTATGGTTTGTGAAATCAAGTGACTCTCTAAAAAAATTGATATTAGCTTCTAGATGCATTCCATCAGTTGCATTAATCTCTTCATTCTGGGAGTATTTTGTGTGGAACCACTTGGAAGCATGTTTCTTATTGATTTCAGGTTCCCTTCATGCTATAGGTACCAGTCAGTCATATTGGGAATCATAAATTCAGATTGTGCCTGCTGTAGTTGGTAAATTTCTAATTGGAGAATCTTAAATATTTCTCGAAAAGTATGTTGCTTTGGAATTGGGAAGATCGTTATATTGATATTTTTGGCATTTACTCCACGGGCTTTCTGCCAGGACTTGAGAAAAGTCTGTCATACCGAATACTTTTTTTAAATGAGTTTTTACTGTGATACACTTTTTCACAGGTCCCTGGGAGGTTGTTTTGATGATATTATTCACAAACTTGGTTAGGATAGCTAAGGTTAGGTTAGGTTATATTATTTTAATACAAGAGGCGACACCTGTCTGGTATTACAGAAAGTTAGGTTGGATTTAATGTTGAGGAAATAATCCTTCAATGTCAAATGAACGCCTTTTTTTTTAAATTTTCGATAATGTTCGTTGAATGCAAATCATCGACAGGATTGCCGGGAATTCTTCGGACCGTCGACGAAACGTCTACATGCGGAACCAGTGGGCGTTCCCGTTCTCGTTCAATGGCCGGAACTTGAACCCGGGTTTCTTCCGGGAAAACGAAGCCCAGACCCACCGAATTCTTGCCTGGCTGAACCGGGAACTTGTTGCCATTCGCTCGATTGGGATACGGAATTTACCCTTGCGATACGATCCCGTGATCTCTGTCACTTCCGAGGAGATGGATTCCCTGGGGGATTTGCTCCGCCGCTTTCATCTGTTGTCTGCGGAAATGTTGTCGCATTTGGCTCGGTTTGTGGGGACCCGATTGGCTAGGCACTTTTTGCACGAGTTATACGTGTTTGCGGATTCGAGGTTCACGTTGGCGCAGTATGACAGACAGGTGGATTACTCGAGGACGAGTGAAGCCTATCGCCTGTGAGAATTTTGCCGATTTCTTCGAATTATATACGAGCTCCTCGAATTTATTTTTGCTCATACTGTTCTTGGAAAATTGAAAACTTTGGAATAAGAGCCTGGAAAAGAAAGATTGCGGTTTAACCTCGAATATTCAGGTTTCTTGTTGAAATAATTTTAAAAGGATAATTAGATTGTTGAATTTAATATGCATCAGGTTGATACACAATAAAATATCCTGGGAATCTAAATTTTTTTTTTTCTTTTCGGGTGAAGCTACAAGGCTTACTTTATTGCTGTATATATCAGCCGCACATTTTCTTGTTTTGCTCATTTCGTTCATGAATTCAGAAATGGTTTCTATTCTTTGCAGGTCGCAAGTCCACCTTATCGGTCCTATGATTCCTGAACAAGAGCGTGAGTCTGACTTATTTCTATTTCTGAAAACAATAGAATACCAGGATTGGGAACCAGGTACTGTATTTACTCAAGAATCACCCACCCTCATGTAAAATGGGCACCTGGATTTTCCGGCCTAAAATGTTGATGAAAATCCTATCCCCAATTAAGACACGTACTCTATTTTTAGGGACTGAAAAAGGGCAATAGTTAGAAAAATATGAGGAACCACAGTTTGAATTTCGACCTGGATTCAACCCTGAGTTCGATTTATTTTCAATCGTTCCCGTGGAAAATAATTTTTATTTAAAAATTGATCCAAAGATCCCAATATAATCAAGTACTGTATCATGCGCACCTGAACTTCTAAACAAATTTTAAAATTGGATCCCTGTCTTATCACCCGCAGCCTCCTAGTTTTTTTTCAAGTTTGAGAAAATTGGTGTTTGTGGTGCTCTAGTTGTCTAGTGAATACAATAATTAGCTTTTCTTCCTCTGTTTTTTCCTAGCATTGATTTTAATTTCGCGAAAGTACCCTTTTTGGCACAAGCTTAACATTTCATGAACGCAAAACAGATCAGAGTGGACCATGAAACAAAGAATTTCTTTTTAAAAATTTAAAATACTTTTATACAGTGAGACCCCCATATGCAGATACCTTGACATGTGGACAATTTGACATAGGGACACTTATTTTCCCATAAAAAGTATTAAAAAAGGCCTGATATGAAGAAACTGACTCAGCATAGGGACATTTTGTGATAAATTGCAAATACGTTCTAGGCAAAATTACAACAAACAGATATTTCCAACCCTAAAATTGATGTAAGAAAAGTTCTTTGGCATTTATCTCACCAATTTACTATTTATTTAGCTAATTTTAAAAAATTATCTCCAGCATAGAGGGACTTATTCCTTCTCTATTTTTCACTCCAAGGTTATTTTTTTTACAGAGAATGCCAACATTTCTATGTACTGTACACAGGTATCAGTATTCAATTCCCCAAATGTCCAAATTGTGTTGAAATATATTGATTGAATCAGTTTTAATTTGGAAGACAATCTTTATTTTCATGGAATTATGGTGAGTATTTTGTGCATAAAACATCAATTAAAAATTATATAATGTAAGTCTAAGGGAAAATGAGACTCAACTTANTTCTCATTTGTGTCAAAATTTTTTTTGAATTGATTAAGTAATCAGGAAGTTGATTCCGAAATGCGAGAAGGGGGTTACTTGAAAGTTCTTGCCTGCTTACTGAGAAACTGTCATTTGGAGGAGGATGTGACCTGATTATCTGTTTTCAATGACTAATTACATTCCAAAATAGATCGCGAGGAATGGAGCTGAAGAATGATTCAAATTTCTTAACAATTCTTCTGTCAATTCATAAAATATTTCAGAAAATTAACGAAGTTATCAAAGGATGGAGCTCCACGCTTGCCATCTCTCGCCAGATTTAACTGAAAAATTTCGTTTGGTGATGATGGCCCCAGTGATTCTTTGCTGATAGACCTGTGAAAAACTGCCAACTAAAGTAGGACTCCCAATTATCTTAGCTTGAGCTAATCTGCGTGAATTTGAGCGAATTGTGATTGATTGAGTTGAAACAGATCAAGGCTCTAAATGGTGTCTTGTTATTTTAGACTTTTACAACTCAATTTCCGTCTGATTGACTTTTCATCTGGAATATGTATAATTTAATTTTGATTAAATCATATCTCCAAGGATGAGAAACTGCAATATTTCAGAAATACGGATGTCTGAATTTTTACTTTGGACATGAATCAAACCCGAATTCAACTAATTGACTATTGTTTCCATAAAAAGTCTTGAAACTGAGCCACAATTTCCCATTTGAGTCATGTATGATGTACAACTGAACTACTAAAATTTGTATACCCACTTACAACGCCCTACATTTTTCCTCTCAATTTTGAGAAAAAAGGTGCATATGTTACTGGAGTGAATATGACATATTGTCTAAATGTGGAGTAAATTTTTGCCTGTTGACAATATTTTTGAGCATAAGATTATCCCTGATGATTGATTATCCAGACACATGCACCCAGTCATCAGTCCAGATAATTGGGAGTTCTTCTGTGTTGACCAAAGAATTATGAAATTGAAGGGAGAGAAATCAAAGAAATCTTGAAGATGATTATTTTATTAGGTTCATGCTACTTTCTGTTGAGATAATTTTCAATGAATTGAAATAAATGGATTGCCAGGCTTCATCTGCTTGCAATGACAATTTTCTTCACACTAGTGGGACTTATGAATTACTTCAAGTATTTTTGTGCTTTTTTATGTTTAATTCCCTCTTTGCTGCCAAGAACAAATTGGTTCAGGTTGAAGGGATTTGATCCAGGACTGGGGATCTCTTGGAAGGCTCGCAATAATGCAGTGATTTTTTTTTTCCTTGCGAAGTGAACTGATTCATTGACGATTCTTTGGACTTGGGAAGCACTTTTTTGTGGAAATGCTGTAACAAAGAAAATGGTAACTCGTTTTTCAACATTTTAGTTAATTTAATTGTTTGTTTTGTTGCCAAAGGTACGTGGAGAGTGTGAAATTTTGTTTATGCGCGATGGGGCACGGCCATGGTGCGAATATCCCAAAAGTGCCGGATTACAAAGCCTTTGTTGTAGGAGATCACACGCCTGATCTCAGAGTGTTGCAGAGCCGTCTTGCCATGCATGGACTGAAGGATCCGTGGATAAGGTGAGTTTTTTCTTTAAATTCAAAAGTTGAAAAATTTTGGGATGAACCATGGAGAAATTTTGAACAATTTTAATGTATAAGTGAGTTGAAGCTCATCAAATTAGGGTACTTTCCTGTTATCTCAGTACCTCATTCCTAGACCGCACTACCACCCAGACAAATCTTTAGGACCAGTTCATAACCACAACAACCTACCAGAAACTGTGAATTTTATTTTTTTTGCATTCTGCTGAAACTGATTTTTGGAGGTGGTTAGGTAAAGTCAGGTTAGGCCAGGTTATGTTAGTTACAAATATCTTTTAATTAACATAACCTGACCTAACCTAACTTTACCTAACCGCCTCCCAAAATCAGTTTCAGCAGAAACCCAAAGAAAGCAGAAACTGATTTTGGGAGGAAGTTAGGTTAGGTCAGGTTAAATTGGTCAGAGGGAAGGTACCAAGATAACAGAAAAGGAGGTACTGAGATAACAGGAAAGTAACCAAATTAGTTTCCCAATGTCTGATTTTCATCACTTTTACTCTGTTGGTACAGTTGGACCTTTGCTGACTTGAACCTGCTCAAGTTTTAAACTTAATGTTAAATTTGTGTGTCCCCTGAAGGTTAGTGTACTCATTAAATTGACTTGCCAGTGTCAATTTTATGACTCTTGATCTGTTGGTACAGTTGGACCTTGCTAACTTGAACCTCCAAATTTGTTTGTCCCTAAGTATTGATTTACTCATCAAATTGCCTTCCCAGTGTCTGATTTTCTGACTCTTGATTTGTTGGCACAGTTGAACCCTGCTAACTTGAACCTCCTGAAGTTTAAAACCTTGTTTATTTGTTTGTCCCCTAAAGGTTAATGCACTCACCAAATTACCTTCCGAGTGCTCTTACTCTGTTGGTACAGTTGAACCTTGCTAATTTGAAGCTGCTTAAATTTGAAACCTTTCAGTGCTAAATTTGTTTCCACTGTGAAGTTTAATGTCAATCTCTCAAACCTTGAAACTTTACCCTTCAAGCCTGTGTAACTTAAATTTCTGGGGACCCTCAGTCTACAATTCCAGGGACCAAAGAAGAAGAGCAAAAAAGTATAATTTGATGCTTTTCAAGTGGAAGTGAGAGACAAATTGGGCAAAAGTACCCTTGCCTCCAAGTCCAGCATCCTATCAACTCATGTCTCCAGAAGTTTAATGCCCAGAATCATCAACCATTTCAACTTCCTGTGTTTCTCATTTCTTCCCCAGCAAAATTGAGTGGTTTCACTGACTCAAATAACTCTCAAAAGTTGAATTTTAGTGGTTTCCTCTTAGTTTGACTTGAAAAGGTCTGACTGACCCCCATGACCAATGAAAGAAAAGCATTGTTGAAATTGACAAATCATGTATGTTTAAATTGTAAAAGACTGAAATTTTTACCAGTGAACTAAAAAAAAAAAGTTTAAAAAGGAAGTTTCAACAACTTGAGCAAGAGATCCAACCACTTGACATTTAGGACAACAAATGAGTAAGTGATGAATAAGCGTTTTATTGGTATCTAAATTGCACATGTTTCAACTTTGGTTTAAAATTTCTGAAAGCATTCCTGTCAATGCTGCCATTTTTAAAAATAATTTGCTGAACTTCAGAAGATGCTTATATGTGAATCAATTTAAATGACTTGGTGGTTCTTCAATCAAATAATTTTTTTATAAAAAAAAAAGTATTCTCCATCCCTGAAAAGTTGTAAATTTTGTTTTGCGCAGGAATGAAGTCTTCAGATTTGATATCACCAACTATGGTGACCTCAGACAAAAGAGGAAATCGGTCTACTTGAGAGGAATGAGAACTGGTTTCATCCTTGCCGGTGTCACAGTTGCCCTGGAATACATTTTCGGGGCCAGTGGTGGTCATCATTGAAGCCTTGGGCTGCTGTGTTGGATCCTGGAGGTGCAATTCTTGGTTCATGGTTTAGTTGTGTACCAAAACCTTGTATTTAGCTGTTTCCTGATGGGGAGTAAATCACGTGTTGTACACATCGTCTTTCCAGTTCTTGGTGGATTTTTACATCTTCAATTCAGGTTAGATCTTTATTTTTTTTTTTAAAGTTGGGTGAAGTTGAAAAGTCTTGGTGGCTCCTGAGGAAGATGATTTGTGTGAAATGTGAAAGAGATTTTCTTGTTGCTCTGGGTACATGGTTCTCTCTGCTGGAATAACAGGCAGTTTTTGTTATTGTACAGTACTGTACTGTGAGTCTCTGCATAACTAGGCTTATCCAACCCAGGATGTGTTTTGTTATGGGGGAACTTCTGTAAAGCAAAATAAAAATTCCCTCAGGGTTACTTTGTAAATTACTCAGTAGTTTGTTCCAAACACACACCAAAGCACCATAATATTCTTTGGGAAATGTGTATTTTTCCTAGGCTTTGGCATGAAATTTTGAATTTAAAATGGATTCCTGGAGTTATGAACTTTGGCAACCCTGTCAAGTTTGTGCATGCTACTTTCTAAATTTCACAAATTTCAAAGACAAGAGAAGGCAAAACCTGACCTTTTTCTTGTTCCCTTTCACAGTTTTGAAAGATTCAAAAGTTTTAGCACAAAACTTGCTGAGGTTTCAGCATTCTTAGGCCAAAATTTGTGTTCTGCAAACTCTTGCTGATACTTGATGCACTTTATTATTTCTACAAATTTTTATGTGAATTATTTTGGTACAGTATTACAAACCACCCTAGAGGTGGATGCTGAACAAAAACTTTTACAATGATACAATTTTTTCACTTAAAACTTTCACTTGTCCTAATTTAACAACATGTAGAATCTTGTATTAACAAGCCAGTTGAACCTGAAACAATTACTTTTTATGAAAGACTTAAAGTTTTTTTATTGAGATTATCTTGGAGAGGCTATGAAAAGGGTTTTATGATGATATTGAATGTAGTGGAGTTACTCATGTCATGCTTCTCCTTTTCCTCATAATATGTTTCAGTTTTGATGCTCCTTTTTAGTCAATAAATCCATGAGTAAGAGGCAATATTAAAAATACTGAAGTTGAAATAGAAACACCACTGAAAACTATCTGACATGAAAATGACTTCATTCATTTTATTTCATCTTAGCTTTATCTGTTGAAATTGACCACTTCAAAGTTCAAACAATATCTTAAAAGATGTCTTCAATGAAAGTGAGGGAATTTGTCAACTGTCAGCCTTCAAATGATGGTTAGAAACTTGAATCTTTAGATTGCACTATGAACTGTTCCTGTTCTTATAACCAACAAGCACATACTGTAATTAAATTGATTTTTCCTCTGAAAATTATGTGTAGTGTAAACCGTGACATGTGAGCCAGTAGATTTATGGAAAAGGGGCAGAATTGCTGCAGCCAAGGTGACCAAAATTGTCCTTATTTTTCAAACCTAGGCAATTTGTCCGTGGGATTAATTTGCAAGTGTATAAACTATGTTCATAATGCTGTAATAACCTTCTGCCTACTCTCAATCACTTATCTGCATGTACTGCCCCAAATTAAAATGGTGTCTCATCCTCCTCTGATTGAGACTGGCTGTTTGGGACTATTTTCCACCCTGTGGAGTGATGCAAGCTTTTAAGAGGACTGACTAAAAGAAAACATGAAGGCCATGAAACAATATCCAATTTGGAACATTGTAAGAAGATAAAAGAGAGTTCAGAGCAAGTTTTATTTGATGTAAATGTCCACTTCAAAATCAGCCATTTGAATGAATGCGAATTATGCAGAATGAATGTATGAATGTAATGATTTTCATAACAAATTTCTGAAGTTGAAGAAAATACTACAGCAACCTTATTAGAAATTACTCTGATGCCTGGCCCTTAATATTCAAGTATAAGTTTTTCTGTAGACCAGGAAAAAAATTCTGTGGAACATTAGTCTCACAACACTGCGTTTCAGCATGTTTCAGTAGAAAAGTAGGAGTGGTGTGATGCATACGAGTGAGCTCTGTGATGAGTATTCCAAAACAATATGGCGACGCGGTTGACGCAACTTGTGGACGCAGGGTCATTCATGAACTTGCTACGGTTTTAACCCTACAATGGTTGTCAGCTTGTTCCCGTTGCGAATCTTCCATCCGAGTCGAAAGTGCATTTTACCTTTAATCCTCGTCATCTTTTCGATTTACGAAGCCCGTGTATTTTTCGCGAGCGGAAGATGGCGGCTCTTCGCGGTGCAATTCGCCTCGGGTGTCTGAACCGCGCCACTTATTGCGGAGCGACCTCGACTGTAACTCGGCGCGCGTTCGGCCGAGAAATGATCGTTAGCAAACCCCGAGTGAAGGTGTCATTCGCGGAAAAGCTTGCCTTTGGAACAGTCTGGTTTGGATCCGTGTTTGCGTGGCTTATGTGGGGCCTGACTGGCATTCCGAGGTGGAGACCCAAGCCGGAAAATTAAATTCATTCCGAGGTTCGTCGCGGGTGCTTTCTGCGCAGTTATTCATTTTCTTTTAATGTATGTGCTTCATTTATGGTGCTTCCGAGTGCATGTTATAACTCACGATCATGATTCGAATGCGGAATGGGATTAGTACGAGGAGCTGAGTGTTTAGTTCTCTCCGTCTTGTTCAATGGACGAAGAAGGGAGTTATTGGAAGATCATGTGATGTTGGAAAGAAAATGTTAGATGGTGCGTGAGTGCTTGCAAAGTGGGGAAATCCACGTCCTCAATATGAGTACCTCACTTCGTTAAGTGTTGAGTCTCATGCAATTTTTTGTTCGTCGATCATACGGTAAAAGCTCATGCGATGAGTGTTCAATGCGTAAGAATTCGCTCAATTAAAGAGGAATTTGCTAATGAGTGTTCGAAGTCCCGTTTGCCTGGAGGATTCTGAATCAAGAACGCAACTACGTGAGTAGTTCGTAATTGCGAGAAACTTGCGTAACATCGTATCAAGTCACATTTAGATCAGAGGTTAATTGAAGTACTGTAAGTTATTTATTGCGCAGTCCTGGATAAGGTCGATAATGAGTTCTATACTGTATCGTGCTTGGCTAAGCATGCGCAAGGAAGTACCGTTTTTTATGTGGGTTTCGTGAATCATATTCAGCATGTCTAATGAATTTCTTCTTTCTTTTTGTGAAGGTCGTGAATAGAAACTCCTTGAGTCGTGCACCTGGTTGGATCTTCTCCTGAAGTTTTCCGTGTGTGAATATATATTCTTTATGTGATCTCCGTGTTACTCCAAACTTCATCACTGACTGTGTTGGAAGACAGTCGCAGTTTTGTCTCGCCTACTGTGAATTGGTGGTTGGCTGCTTGGATAGAACTTCTTGCTGCGGTCGAGATTTTTTATGTTCTCTATCCTTGTGCCGGTTTTTTGAACTAGGCATGGGGGGGATTGTGAAAGTGTTGTGCAGAGTGGAATTGCTTCTTCCTCGCTGAATAAAGTGCTTGGAGTCGTGTCGTAACCGCACCATTGCGTAAAGCCGTGTTTCTAGAAAACGCTTGTCTAAATTTTTGTGCGCTTTCTTTTCTTGAGGTTTCTGACGTGTGTGTGATTGGGATGGGGTTTTATCGTGAAAAGGGATTTTGCTGTGGGAAGATTCATCGAGAGCACTTCGGAAAAGTGAACTGTGTGAAGTGTAAATGGCGAAATACTGTACCTCAAGCCCTATTTAATCGAAGCTGAGTAATGTAAAACAGGAAAATGTCTTCTACAGTGATTCCCTACATAATGAAAGGCCCGTGAAATAAAATATCTGTTACGTAAATTCTAACAAATGAAGTGACTCGCACAACATACTGTAATTGTTTCGTACAACGTATTGTTATGGCCAAAAAATAGCTCGATTTTCGACAAGTTTCGAGCTCGAACTTGTAAAATAGAATGTTTAAGAAGAAGAAATTATTTTCCCTCTTTTTGTTCATAAAATTCAGGAAGTTTAGACTTTAGAGCATTACATTTCCAGGGTTACTTATTTTCAATGACTAATCTATTTAAAATTTACAGTTTCAAGGTACAGTAAGAACGAAAAATAGTTTTCTAAGTTTTTTGTGTTTGTCTGTTGAATGTCCAGAACGAATTAAATCGTTTAAATGCTTAAGTATGTGAATTCAAGCGAAATCGCTTTTCCACTTGATAAAATCCGGCATAAAGGAAAGCTTCCAGGGAAGGGTTTGTTTTGTTTTGCGGCGTTTCACTGTACCTCCCTCAAAAAAACATCTTTGATTATACTGTGCATCACAATTTCAAGTACAGTATTGTAATATTCAGTGAGACCCCCACATGCGGACACCTCGACCTGAGGACAATTTGACATAGGGACACTTATTTTTTCTTTAAAAATTAATAAAGGCCTTACATGAGGACACTGACTCAACATAGGGACATTTCGTGATAAAATCGCTAATAAGTCCCGGGCCCAAATTACAAGAAACAGATATTTCCAACCCTAAAATTGATGTAAGAAAAGTAATTTACCAACTTCACCAATTTACTGTCCATTTAGCTAATTAAAAAAAAGTACCTTCAGCAGAGAGGGATTTCCTTCTCTCTTCTTTACTTGAATATTATTTGTGCAGGGAATGCCAACATTTCTATGTACCGTATAGAACTATAGACCATACAGGTATAAATATTCCGTTCCCCAAATGCCCAGATTGTGTTGAAATATATTGATTGGAATAAGTTTAAATTGGGTGACAATTTTTATTTTCATGGAATTATGGTGAGCATTTGGTACTTTCCTGTTATATCAGTACCTCATTCCTAGACCACACAACCATCCAGACAAATCTTTGGGACAAGTTCATAACCACCACAACCTACCAGAAACTGTGCATTTTATTGTATAAAATGCCAATTAAAATTATGAATGCAAGTCTAAGGGAAAATGAGGCTTGACTCAGGGACATTTCAACTAAGGGACACTCTTGATGCACCAATTATGTCTGCATATTGGGGTATCACTGTACATTGAGACTCCAAAATGTGGATTTAATTGGTGCATCAAGAGTGTCCCTAAGTCAACATGTCTCTTAGTTGAGTCTCATTTTCCCTTAGACTT